CCACCGCCCCATCTTACCAGGGCAGGGGGATGGACACCGCTGCCACGGCCACCCCCCTTCTCCCCAGGCCCCCAATGCCTCTGGCGGTGCTGGGGGTCCCCCGGGGTACTCACGTCGGCGGGGGGGGGTGAGTGGAGCTGGGCTCCCTGCGGCCGTGGGGTCGGGGTGGTGAGGTGGGGGGTCCCCAGGTGGCTGCCCTCGCCCCTGAGGCTGACAAGTTGGGCGAGTGGCTCCTGCAGCCGCGGCCAAGGCTGCTGCCGAGCCTGGCAATGGGAGCAGGTCTTTCCCCACCTCCTTCCTCCCCTCCTCCTCCTCGTCCTCCCTTGTCTCTCTCTTTCTCTGTCTCTTTTTTTTTTTTTTTTTTCCTCTCTTTTTTTCCTTGAGGGCCAGATACTGACGTTTCGGTGTCTCTTAGCAACTGCCTCCACATCTCTGAGCAACAGGAGAGCGGGATGCAGAGCCGCCGGAGCGATGGAGACGGCGGAGGGTAGAAATGCCCCCGCCCTGGGGACACCCCAACAAGGGGGGACCTGCACCCCAATGTCAGAGGCACCCGGGTGGGATGGAGTGGGAAGAGGGGTGGCATCCCACCCCCTGCCACATGCTCGGCCCATCCCCAGCCCTCCCCACAGCCCCCGGCCCTGGGAAGCATCCCCCGTGGGATGGGGTGAATCAGGGTTTCCCGGCCTCTGAAAACAGAAACAAATTACGTATCGTCAGAGTGGAAAAATAAGGCATCCCTGATCAAAGCTGGTGCGACGTTACCCGAGTGTTTTCAGCCCAGTGCTCCCAGGCCACAGGGACCCGCTGGCCTGGGGGGCTGCAGCGGTGCTGGCTGCAGCATTTCTACTGAAAACCCTGCTGAACCCACACACAACCCCCCTCCAGCCTGCTATAAGCTGAAATGAGGTTTGTTGGGGTTTTTTTTCCTGCTCGTAGACCTGGAAAATGCCTCAAGTTGACGCTGATTGTTTTGCTCTGCACAAGCTGAAAATTTCTGCCTCCCTTTGCCTTTTGGGTGGGGAGGGGGTGAAGCGGGCTTTAGCAAGCCACTCGCCTGCCCGCAGCTGGCTTTTGACCATGGAAATGGCCGGTTTGGATCACGAGGGTGCTCATGTGTTGCAACACCACAGCTACAGCACTGTTGAAAAGGAAGCACTTTCAAAACCCAGGCTGCTGGCACTCGGTGTGGAAGGTTTCCTTGTTTTAATTTTCTCCTGATGTTTTCATGGAGTTGCTCCTTTTCCCAGCTGAAACCTCCGGCCCCATCCCAGTGTTTCAGCAGCATCACCCAGGGGGTTGTTTGCTCCCCACGTCCCGTGGGACGGACGCTCCTTGCCGAGGCGCCTGCCTCTCCCCATGGTGGCTATTAATTGGTGCTGCTCATAGCCTGGGCTCCCAGCAGGCTTCAAGGGAAACTCCAGGAGCCGAATACAGCCAGACATCCCAGGAGCCAGCTGCAGCTCAGGCAGACACATAATTAGAGATAAGACCAAGCCTGGCTGCAGACCTCTTCCCAGCATCTATTTGTGCAGAGTTTTTTTCCACTCCCCCAGCGTTTTGGGCTACGTTGGCACCAAATAAACTGGTCAATTACCCCGACCGGGGTCTGTCTGCACCACAGTGGAGCTCGGTTGGTGGCCCCCTAGCCAAACCCTGTGGTCACAGACCTGGGGACACCGCAGTGGCCAGGTATCATCCCCGGGGGAGCTGCCACCCGCGCTCCTGGAGCCGAGGTCAGGATGCTCAACTTTGGGGTGAGAAGGATCTGGGGCTTCCCTCCACCAGCTCACCCACAGACCCCCCCTGCGAGAGCCCAGCCCCACCAAAACAGCATTTCTAGGACAAAAACGCAGGCGGGAGAGTGCCGGCTTTTTGGATGAATGCTCCAAGCTTGCTTCCAGCCTCCCTTTTCTATTTTTCTTCCCCCTCCCATTTCTGGGGGGCCGTTGGCAGTGAGGCAGCCCCCTCTCCTGCAGCCAGCTTGACAAGGCTCAGCCCTGATTGCCAGCGGCCACCAGCCGGGCTCCCCCCAGTCCCAGGAGCCTGGGATGGCTCCAAGGAGCCTGGTTCGATACATCTGCTTTATAGGCAGGGCTTTATCTCTGTCAGGGCAGGCAGCATCTGATAGCCCCCTGCGTTTAATCCTTGTGCACTCAAGCTTTGGAGAGGGGGAGGAAAGGCAAGGAGCGGTTACATCCCCTCTTCTAACGGGTGGTCAAAGCTGTCGGTCACAAACTGGCCAAGGAAGATGATCTTTCCTAATCAGCAGGACAAGGAGATCACTGCCTTTGAGCAAGGACATCTGGGCACTGTTAGACCTTGCAGAGGGGACGTTGCCAACTTGGCAAGCAAACACAAGATGTGTTTCCTTCACTGAACTCCCTCATTCTAATACTAAAGGTCAAGAAGCCCCTTGCCCAAGTGAAGACCCTTCCCCTGAGTGCATGTAGTAGTACTGTGTCAACAGTATTATAAGTGTATGTAAATTACTGACCAATCTTTGTAGAGAGGATGGACCTGGAAAATTACTAACTCTGCAAGTTCTGTCTATAAATATAGCACAAAAAGTTCCGTTGGTGAGCTTGATTTGTAGGAAACTACTGAGCACTAAGGCTTGTGCAACCCTAAGATTAATAAGTAATGTCTCTCCTGAGTGTGTGATTACTGACCTGCTGCACAGCGGGCGATGAACCTGCTTCCTGGACAGGCAGGTCGGCTGCAGTGACACTGGGAGCAGTTCCTCCGCCCTCTCAAAAAAAACGAGGTTCACTGTATCTGCCTCCACTGCCAGCACCCTGGCATGAAACAAGGCTGCGTACATCTTTCCATGATGGGGAGCAACGGGGAAAGCTCGGGCACCCTCGCCAGGCTCCTGCTGCTGAGGGTGCCCATGGGTTTCACCTTCTTCCAGAGGACCTGTGTCTGCAGCGTGGGATGACACGGTTTGGTTTCAGGCTGCCGGCGAGGCCCCATCCCCGCCCCAGTGGAAGCAGCACCCACAAAACCACATCCCCGTGTGCCCACGGCGAGGCAGAAAGTTCAGAGTCAGGGCAGACGTGCCAGCCTGCGTGGCCCGCAGCAATAAAATCAGACTGGCTTTCAGTTTCCCCAGCATCAGTCTCAATACACTAGACCAGTCCTTAACATTTTTTATCACCGCCCCCCTGCCACGCTCCACAGCTGTTCCCGAGTTTGCACTAATCTAACCCAGCCTGGCCACCATCGCTGTAAGATGGGTGAAGCTCAGGGAAACGGGAGCGCGCCGGGATCTCGGCAGCAACGGGGCTTGGTCTGATGTCGGCTTGGGTCTCTCCACTCAAGATACCTCTGCCCTCTGGCTGACACTCTGTAATCACCAGCTGCTGGTGGAAATCCCAAACCCAAAGTGCCTTTCTAAGTCAAGCGTGGCGCGTCCACACCAAGGTGGGGTGCTAGAGTTTCAAGAGGCTTCGCCATCGGCCAAGGTTTTGCTCTTGTGTGCTTTGTCTTTGTGCTGCTCAGGACACGTGTCCTGGTTTCAACTGGGATAGAACTAATTGGGTTTTTTTCCTTCCTCCCTAGCAGTCAGAATAGTGCTGTGTTACACATTCAGTACAGGATTTACTATCAGAAGGATGTTGATCATGCACTGATGTTTTTAGCTGCTGCTGCAAAATCGGTGACTTTCCAGCTCCCCATGTGTGGCCCGTGTGCAGGTGCACAAGAAGTTGGGGGGGAGCAGATCCAGAGCATGGACCCAGACTGGCCACCGGAATATTCCATATTGTACATCTTGCTCGGTGTGTGTCACCAAATCCTGGTAAATGCAGAACTCTGTGCTCAGCTGAGTATTAGAAAGGAGGCGCCAGATGCATGGGGGATTGTTCCTCTTATCACACACACCAAAAGACAAAGGCACACTCCTTATATACATTAAAAGAAATGAATATTCATGTCGTTTCCGAGAAGCACCTGCCTATTTCCAGGCAATCTAACGCATATGTTAATACATTGCGCAAGCTGCTAAACCTGGGGAAGGGTCTCCGGTGGTCTCTGGCGGTCGTCCTGGGGCAAGGACCCGAACCCGCTTTGCCCGTACGTGGTAAGTCCTGGGTTGGACACGCAACCTCACTCACGGTGTTCCCTCTGCGCCTGTACACAGGGGCCTGTCCAGCTGGTCCTTGACACTTGGCTGATGTGCAGACTCCTCACCCCGCCCGTGTCTCTCGGAAGCAGACATCTGCACAGCTGCTGCCTTCACCAGTTTTCAAGGGCTGTTTTTTCACAACATATAGATGGGCGGTGATGGGGAAGCTCCACTCAGATTCTCGGGATGATGGTTTCAGGATTCTCTATTCTCTGGGATCACTAGCCAGGACCAGGCTGGGCTTAGGCCAGTCTGTGGTGAGCAATCGCACTGTGCATTACCTGTTTGCATTTTCTACTATTACTATTATTATTATTAACATAATTTCATTTTATTTCAATTATTAAACTGTTTTTATCTCAAGCTACAAGTCTCCTTACCCTCCCAACCCCCTTCCCCAACCTGGGGGTACGGAGTGAGCGGCTGCGTGGTTTAAGCTGGCCGGGTTTAAGCCATGACAATGCTGTGGTTGCGGTGGCTGAAGCTTCCCCTCCGGACACTTTTTTTCTGCAAACACCATTAACAGGAGCAGGAGCTATAGGTGGGGCAGCACCTGCTCTCGGTTTCTTCTCACACTCTACACTGTGACCTCCCACAAAGTTGCTTCACAGGCACTTTTAATTTCAGTCTCAGAAAGAGTTGGGTGGTTTGTTTTGTTTTGTTTCATGCCTGTGTGCTCCTGCCTGTGCCTCACGACCACAAAAGCATTTCCTGGGGGGGCTCAGGCACCTCACCCCGACTCGCCCGCCCCCGCCCCCCATGCCCTCCCCATGCACTGGCCACGTTTGCCCGAGAGGTTTTTGCTCTGACCCGGCCCATGGGCTGACCAAGCCACCCTCGGCCATTTGCTTACGGCTTGTTTTCAGTGCCAGGAGCCTGCAAACGGCTTGGGGTGAGGGGGGGTGTTGCAGCCCAGATTCAACCAGAATTTCACCACCAGGGCAGCTCCTTCCCCTGGCAGCAGCTCTGGCTGATCCTATCTTTAGGTCTGTCAACCTTATGGCAGCCTGAGTTCTCAAAGCTTTTTGCTTGGCCCAAAAGCCCATGCTGTGATCCGTTCCTGCTGCCCAGGAGGAGCAGAGCCACCTCCACCATCTGGTGAGGCTGCTGGTGGGCCAGACCCTTCCCTGGGAGTGGGACACCAGGATGGGTGTTCTTCAGCTCTGCAGCAAGATGAATTTCAAGGAGAAGTGGCAAAACCCACCACATGGCTCAGCCGCGCCAGGCACCGGGGTCTCTGTGCCTTCAGCACAACCCTCAGCTACGGCGTGAGAAGGAAGGAGCCAGTGCTAAGAAGAGACGAGAAGAGAAGGGGAAAATAAATGAGGTGCAGAAAGGTCATGAAATGTGATAATTTTGACCTGAGAGGGAATGAAACAGCAGCATGCTTTCAAAGCAAGGTTCTGCCCATACAGGAAATCGAAGCGCCTGTGCAGCTCACCGGCTGGGTTTTGCCCCGACGATGAAGGTCTCCAGCTGTCCCTGCAAACCCGTCAGGCTCTGTGGTGCTGCACAGCGGGTCCCAGGCGGGCTGGAGCAGCCTCGCTCCGCAGCAGGGCTGGCTGCCCTGCTCTGACCCTGGGGGGTGCTGGTTCTTCTAGGGGGGGACCTGGGCGTTCTGGTGGTGATAAGGCTCTCCTGGCCAGGACACTGATCTCCTGGCTGGACCACTGCTTTTCCATCCTCTGCAGGTGGGAACACGGTTCTCCTGGTAGGTCGACATTTCTGGTGGGGTACGGCTCCCTTGGTGGAGACATTTTTCTCCTGGTGGGCTACAGCTCTCCCAGGAGGGACACTGCTTGCACTGTGGGACGTGGCTCTAGTGAGGTTTTGGTGGCCCCTGGACTGCCGCCCCACTGCTCCTCATGCTGGTGCTGCAGGGATGGTTTGGGCAGGGGTACAGCAGGCAGCACTGTGGTGCCTGGCTGGGGGCACGGGGCAGGGAGGATGAGGCTGGGGGCAGCGGGGGGCACAGCTCCCCCAGAGCAGAGACAGCCCAGTTGGGATGAGGCTGGGCTGTGGGGCCATGGAGGCTCCTTACAGGATGTTTTCCCCAAACCTCGTCTCCCCATCACAGGCACGGGGCCGTGCGTTAGCCGGGTGTCAGGGCTCTCCCCATGGGGTTGTGCGGCAGCAAGGAGAGCAGCAGAGCACCGCTGGGGACCTGCTGCTCCAGGCCCTGGAAGATCTCTCCAAGATCAACTTTAAAAAATTCTGGCACGCGTTGGCGTATGGAGACCTGCAAGGCAGGAACCGCATCCCCTGGGGGCGGCTGGAAAAGGCCGACTGGATCGACACTACAAACCTCATGATGAATTCCTACGGCAGGGAGGATGCCCTGGATGTGGCGATAATTGTCTTCAAGCACATCCAGCTCCGTGAAGCTGCCTACCAGCTCCAGGAAAAAAGGGAGAAAGGTGAGAAGGCCAAGCAGCTCCCCGGTGAGTATAGCATCTCACAGGGTCCTGGGCACCGTGTCCTGGGGGCTGTGTCTGCAGGAGCCTGTGGTTGGCACCAGGAGGATGCTATGGAAAGGGCGGTGGGTTGGGGGTCCCTGTGGCAGGGTGTGCGGGGTTCCTCCAGGGAGGAGGAGGTGGAAGAGGATTTGGGGGTGTTAGAGGCTCAGTGATGCTGCTCACTAACACCCCTTTCTCTTCCTGCCCTAGGGTCTGCTCCTCTGGTGGATTCATCATCACCAGGTAGCTGCTGGCGAGGAGAAGCAGGGGAGGGCCCTGCTGCTGTTCGCCCTGTAGTCTGCAGGTGCATGAAGAGGCCTCCCACCCTTCCAGATTACCAGAGGGATTACAAAAAAGCCATATGCCAGGCGTACAGCCACATAAAGGACCAAAATGCCCGTGTGGGTGATAGCGTGAGCCTGGAGAGCAGGTACTTGAAGCTGGTGATTGTCAACAAGCACCGTGATGAAGAGCACGAGATCATGGCCATGGGGCAGCGGCACGCAGAGATCATGAAGGAGCAAGCCCAAGCCAGCTCCTCCATCACTGTTGATGACCTCTTTGATCCCGGCCCCGATGGCTGGACCCCCAAGGTACTTGTGCTTGTGGGAGCTGCGGGCATGGGCAAGACAATGACGGCCAGGAAGATCATGCTGGACTGGGCGTCTGACAAGGTGTTTGCGAAGTTTGACTACGTCTTCTACATCCACTGCCGGGAGGGCAACCTCCTCACCAGAGAGGCCAGCATGGCTGAGCTCATCACCCAGTGCTGTCCCAGTGGCTCTCTGCCGCTCGACAAGGTGCTGGAGCAGCCGGAGAAGCTCCTGTTTGTGATTGATGGCTTTGATGAGCTCCGCATCTCCTTCCACCTGCCCGAGCCTGAGCTGTGCTCCCAGCCCAAGGAGAAGAGCCTAGTGGAAATCACCCTGAGCAGCCTCTTCCGCAGGAGGTTCGTGCCTGAGAGCTCCCTGCTCATCACCACCAGGCTGGCCGCCCTGCAGAAACTGAGCAGGTTCCTGAAGTGCGAGCGTTACGCTGAAATTGTGGGGTTTTCCGAGGTGGAGAGGAAGGAATATTTCTACAAGTTTTTCAACAACGCAGAGCAGGCGGCTGCTGTCTTCCAGTTTGTCAGAGGGAACGAGGTGCTCTTCACCATGTGCCTGGTGCCCATCATGTGCTGGATCGTCTGCACGGTCATGAAGAAGCAGTTCAGCAGCACGAGGGGTCTTGCCCAAAGCCCAAAGACGATGACGGGGATCTACATCCTCTACCTTTCTGCCCTGCTCCAGTCTCTGAGAGGCTGGCTGAAGCCAGATGTGCCTGCAGTGCTCAGGAGTCTGTGCTGCCTGGCAGTCGATGGTGTCTGGAAGCAGAAGGTCCTCTTTGAGGAGAAGGAGGTTCATGGGTATGTTCTGGACCAGCGACAAGCCCTCCCACTCCTCCTCAGTGAGCACGTCTTCCAGAGGGACATCTCCTGTGTCAGCACCTACAGCTTCATCCACCTCAGCTTCCAGGAGTTTTTTGCGGTGCTCTTCTACCTGCTGGAAGATGAAGGGGAGGTGCAGGACCTCCCAGCTGGTCCCTCCAGGGATGTGAAGAATCTTCTGGAGAGCTACAGCAACTCCAGTAACTACCTGGTGCTAACTGTGCGGTTCCTCTTTGGGCTCTTAAATGAGGACCGCAGGAGGGAGCTGGAGGAGAAGACGGGGTGTAAAATCGCACCCAGGATTACGCAAGAATTACTGGCATGGCTCCAGAACAGCCAGAAAACACCCCTGGCTTTGCTGCTGCAGGAGCCGGCCGTGATCCACGAGCTGGAGATCTGCCACTGTCTGTACGAGACCCAGGACGAGGGTTTGGTGGTGACTGCCTTGGATTCTTTCATGGGGGTGAACCTACGGGGGCTCAACCTTAACCGCTTCGATCAGATGGTCCTTTCCTTCAGCGTAAAAAACTTCCCCAAGCTGGAGTCACTTGACCTGGGGAACTGCTCCTTTCTGCGGGACGACCCGGAGGACTGCGGGGGCCTGAAGCCGGCCAAGCAGGCGCGTTGGTGTGTGAGGCCCTGGGCCCCATAGCGGTGAATCCCCCAGAGCCCAAAGAGCTGCCGTGACCCTGCAGAGGAGCCCGCAGCAAGGCCGGTCCTCCCGCCACACCGGGAACACCAGCGAGGGGATACTGGTGTGTCCAAGGGACACAGCCAGTGGCCAAGAAGCAGTGTGGGAACAGGGATGGGAGTAGGACAGCACAGACCTAGACTAGACTAGACTAGACTAGACTTAGAAACATATAGGGTAGGAGCAGGGATAGGATAGGAATAGGATGGGAATAGAGTAGGATAGGAATAGAATGGAGTAGGAACAGAGTACGAGTAGGAATAGGATAGCATAGACAGACTAGACTAGACTAGAATTATAATAGGATAGGATAGGAGTAGGAAAGGACTAGGATAGGAACAGGCTAGGAGTAGAATAGACTCGGATAGGAATAGAATGGAGTAGGAGTAGGAATAGGAATAGGATAGCATAGATATAGACTAGACTAGACTAGAACTAGACTAGGATAGGAGTAGGGATAAGATAGGAGTAGGAATACAGTAGGATAGGACTAGGATAGGAATAGGAATAGTAATAGGATGCATCTCTTTGTTTTCAGGGAGAAGCAAGAGGAGGGGAAGGAGTCACCCATCCACCTGCTTTGTCAAGCCTTGGAAAAATCAGGCTGTAAATTAACAAGGCTGAGGTACATCACTCCTCTCTTCTGGGTGAAATGGGGAAGCAAGCAAAGCCCCACCGGCCCGGCTGGATCTCCTCGCTTCATGGGGAGGATGAGCACATGCCACCACAGCTCTCCGCAGAGTGGGACGGGCTCTTCAACTGCTCCCGGGAGGCGCCCGGGGAGACCAGCCTGGCTTGTGGTGGCTGAGTCAGGGAGGGCTTGGCTGGTGCGTCCCTGCGGCTCTGGGGCTCCTCTCCACATCTCTCTTGCAGGTTTGGTCAGTGTCAGCTCACGGGCGCCTGCTGTGGGGCTCTGGCCACCGTCCTCAGCGTAAAATCCACCCTGACAGAGCTGGACCTGGCTGGGAACGAGGACCTGAGGGACGGCGGTGTGAAGCTGCTATGCGAGGGGCTGAGATGTGGCGCCTGCCTGCTGCAGACGCTGCGGTAAGGGACATCACCAGTGCCGGGAGGCTGTGGGACCATTTGTCTCTTCTCATAAGCCTTGAAGATGGAAGAAAAAAAAAAGAAAAGAAAAGAAAGGCCCGTTTACTGCTGCTGCTGCTGCTTCTGCTGAGGATAGCTTGAGGCATCACAGACCTACTTGTCGCAGGGGCAACAAGTATTATTGCCTTTTCCATCAATATAATTTAGTTCCACATTTTTAAATGGATGAGTCCCTGCTAGGACACTGTAGGAAAGGGGGAGCGCTCATTTTCAGTGCTGAGCCCAGATGAAGAAGTTAGAGGAGAGGCCTGTGCTACTGTCCCCACTCTTTGCTTGGCTGTAGGTGTCTCTGTGCACCTCAGGCACCTTCTCCCCAGCCTCTCGCCCTGCTGCTGTGGGTGGTTTTGGGTCCCCGGGCAGGGACAGGGCTGGCCACACACCGTGTAGAAACACGTAATTACAGAATTGGATTCGCCCAACAGAACATTTCTGGGAAGGAGATGAACTGTCCCTTAGTGGTCTCTGCATTTTCCCCTCCTTTTGGATTTTTTTTTTTTTGAGGGTATATATCTATATCCATCTATGAATCTATACCATTTCCCCTGGTATAGATTCAGCCTGGACAACAAGGTTTGAAAGAGGGAATCTCTCTGAAACTTCAAGAGTGAGGCAGATTGATCTCACCCACTCGAGCAATATTCATGGTTTGCCCCCAGACCTTCACCCCCCGGCGGGGCGGACGCTGTCTGGTCGCCTCACCTCTCCATTCCCACGCCCAGCCCAGCCGGGCTGCCGCTGGGTATTCGCTCGTGGCTGCACTTTGGCATTTTGTCCCTTGGAGTCTGCAGATTTGGGTCGTGGTTTGTGCTCTGGAGCACATTTGAGCTGCTGGGGACACAGAACAACGAGCAGCAAACAGCAGTTACAGGCGTGCCATCTTGGGGGGAGGGATGGGGAGAGGGCCCTGAGGTGTTCCCCTCCCTTTTCCAACAGTGTCCCCAGAGCCTCTGCAGGAGCCACCCCCGTGCCCAGGCTCGGGCCGGGGGGCACTGGCCGGGTCTCTCTGACTGGGGGCAATGGAACTGGGCAGCCTCACCACCGTCTCTTCTGCAGGTTGGGCTGCTGCAACCTCACGGCCGCTGGCTGCAGGGACCTCGCTGCCGTGCTGGGTGCCATGCCCAGCCTGGCCCCGCCAGACCTGAGTGACAACCCCGTGGAGGATGGAGGCGTGCGGGCGCTCTGCAGGGCGCTGGCAGGGCCTGGCTGTGGCATCCAGAAGCTCTGGTAGGGGGTGTCGGGCTTTGCTCCCCATAGGCACCTTTCTGGTGGGCTTGCAGCCAGGTGGCTGCTCTGCCCCTGCAGTGCCACGTCACTGCCCCGAACTGCTCGAATTAAACAGCCTGAGCACATCCCCGGCTCAAAGAGGAGCAGGTGGTTTTTGGAGCTTAGCCAATGTTCTGTCGCCTGCGCAGGCTGTGGCAGTGCCGGGTGACGGAGGGGAGCTGCGGGGCCCTTGCCGAGGTGCTCCCCGTCTGCCCCAGCCTGAGGGAGCTGCACCTGGGTGTCAACGAGCTGGGGGACGGTGGTGTGTGGCAGCTGAGCGAGGGCCTGCAGGATCCTGCCTGCCGGCTGCAGATGCTGAGGTGAGGGGCTGCTGGGGCTCTTGGGGCGGGAGGATGCTCTCTGCAGGGACCCTCTGCCTCCCACACGTGCTCCCCCGCTGAGGCTCCTACAGCTGGTCCCCATCCCTCTCCAGGGCAGCTTGGACACATTCGGGTGGGTGCCAAGAGCCTCGATAGGCAGGGCACTAGCATCTTACAAATAGAAAATTATTTATTCATTAGCTAGACGAGATTATTTTTTATCATCCAGATGAGATAACTGGGATTTAAAGCTCTCTGAGGGGGAGCAGCAGTATGCTCGCTGCCCCAGCTGCTGTTATTCCATTCACCAGCACATTCCGGGTGTGCATACATAGATATTTGCTCTCTAACAACCACCCTGATCATGTTTTGTGGTTGTAAGAAATAATGAGGGGGTACCCCAGTCAAGAGGAAGCCCAGACCTGCCCGTGCCCATCTAAGGGATGTTCCCCATCCTGGGAAGATGACACCCAGCACCAGAGACCTCACAAGAAGCCTGGAGCAAGGCTCTGGAACAAGCCCCCCTGGAAGTTATTTCCAGGAGCCCAGAGGAGCCAGGGGGGGTGTGCAGGCAGCCTGAGCGAGGTCTCTGGCTCTGAAGGTCTGTGTGTGAAATGTCCTCCTCTCTCCAACACCTCCCTGGCAGCCTGTGGAAGGGCCAACTGACTGGTGCCTTCTGCAAGGATCTCTGCGCTGAGCACCAGCCAGAGCTTGGAGCACCTGGACCTCAGCGAGAACGACTTGGGAGATGGCGGTGTGTGGCTGCTGTGTGAGTCGCTTGGGCACCCCACCTGTGCCTTGCAGAGGCTGTGGTAAGGGGCTGGGGGCTGCTCCGGCCATGGGGCTGCTTCCCCCAGGGCTGGGGACAGACCAGGTGTGCTGTGAGCCTCCCCGTGCCACAGGTCCCGGCCTGCCCTGCAGGTGGGAGAGTCGTTTCTGTGAAGCTGTGGGTGCTCCCAGGCTCACCTGAGAGTGTTCCATGGACCAGCCTGAGCCTCAGTCTCCCCCCTGCTCTCTGCTTCCTGAAGCAGAAAAAGCAAGCTAGAACAGAGGCCAGACAACACCAGAAAAACCCCATGCTGGCTGCTTTTTGTCTGGTTTTTTTTGGCTGTGCAACATTATGGCCAACAGTCAATAACTTGAGTAGATTTAACCTCTTTCCTTCTCCTCTCTAAAGGCTAAAGAAATCTGGATTAAATGAAGAGACGTTACAGAATCTGGGTGCTCTCAAAGAAATAAACCCCAAGCCGTACACAGAATACATTTGACGAGCAGGACATGCCTGTGTGAGTGGCTTTGGCCTGGCAGCTCCCTGACAGAGTTTGCACGTGATGAGGGGCTGGAAGATGTTCTTTTCATTCGTGAGAGGTCCTTTTAGTGCTGAAAGCACCTTCCAAGAGGGGTGGCCGGGCTCTGAGGAGAGTAAGAACCACCACCCAGAGCGGAGATGTGTTTGTGCATCACAGGCCCAGCTGGGAGCTCATCCATGGGCCCT